TTGTTTCCTTTTTCCTAGTACTAGGAATTGAACTTAGCACCTTGTGCTTGCCAGGCAGGCACAGTGCCACTGAGCTAAATCCCCAGCCCCCAAAATATTTTTAATGATATGGCAGCTGACAATTTAATTGGGTCATTCTTCCATTTTGGAAGGGGAATATTTGGAACATACCTCATTTGCAAAAACAAAACAAAACAAAAAACATCTGTCTGTCTGATTAGTTACCTAGTGATCAGATTCTCCTTAGCTATCCATTTTTATGACTGCTCTTTGTACTGTCTCTAGGGTATTTTTCCCAGGCTGGTGAGAAGCCTACTTTTCTTCTGAAAGTGGAAGAAACACAAGAATGAAAACAGGGCTGGGAAGGAAGCACATCTACCCACACCTTGATGGCTGACACCTTCCTAGGCAGGTAAATCCTGGAAGGGATGTTGAGGTTCTGGAAACCCATTCCCTTCAAGGTGGAGTCAGCAGATTTTCTCTGTGAAAGGTCAGATAGTAAAATATTTTAGTCTCTGTCAGCCATATCCTGTCCTAGTTACTAAATTCTGCTCTTATAGAGGACAAAGGAGTGTGGTCATATTCCCATACAACTTTACGGATACTCACAGTTGAATTTCACATAATTTCCATGTGTCTCAAAATATTTCCCTTTTATGCCCTTTCAAACCATTAAAAATGTAAAAACCACCTTACCTCCCTGGGTGGTACAAAATCATGCAGCAAACCAGGTTTGAGCCAGAGCTCCTAGGTTGCTGACCCCTGTCCTATAGTATCTGTTACAGTTTGGATCTTACATGTCCCCCAAAGGCCCTTGTGTTGAAGATTTGCTCTCCAGACTATGGTGTTAATGGACTGTGGTGGAACCTTTAGGAGGTGGGGCCTAATGGGAGGAACTTTGGTCACTGGGGATAGTGGGACCTGGCAACTTCCTCTCTGTGGTCCCTGACTACCCTTTTATTTTGGTACCAGGATTGAACTCAGGACTTCATGCTTGTCAGGCAGGCGCTGTGCCAGTCTCTGAGCTACATCCCTGGCCCCAGGTCCCTGACTACCCTAAGGTGATCAGCTTTGTTCACCACATGCTCCTGCCATGATGTGCTGCCTTGCCACAAGTTTAAAAGCAATGACCATGGACTGAAATGTCTGAAACCATGAGCCATGAAAAGAAATCTTTCCTCCTTCTAAGTTGTTTGTCTCAGGTATTTTGTCACAGTAGCTCAAAGCTCACTAAGACAAGATTTGTGTAGGCATGTCCCTCGCAAAGCCTTTGTGGAAGCTCAGGGTAATGTGTACTCTTGTTTAAAATTGTCATCCTGGCCATCAACTCTGGCTGCAGGTTAGAATTACCTGGGTGCTTATAGACTACCAATACCCACCCCACTGGTCCATTCTAGTTCAGCTGGTCAAAAGAGGTATCTGGGCATAAGTATTTTTTACATGTTTCCTAGGTGATTCTAATGCATACCCTGATTTTGGAGCAATATTCTGTTGCCATAGGCTCCACACAGCTCATGGACACAATGCTGCTTTGTGCTGTGTTTGTAATACTTCATCTAGTCAGAGGCATCATCCCTGTGAGGTGAAGTCCAATTGTAGATTTTTTTAAAATGTAGAAAATAGGTGTCTTTGATTGGATGAAATATAGTCTTGCTTGCCTGTAAGACTAATCGTCCCTGATAGCAACAGTCCTGGCTTCCCTAGCTCTGTGTTCTTCTCAGCCTTCAGTGTTTAGCTGGTGGGCGGGGTTCCCCGAGCACTTGCTGAGTGTGCGCCGGCATCAGGCTGCTCCATTACTGCCCGTTCTCTGGACTCTTTTCTCCTCTCTGGTTGGACAGAACCTCATCCTGAGGAGAAAGTAGATAGTCAAAAAATTTTTTTGTGGATTAATTGACTGATTATGAAAGAAGCTATAGCCCAGTATCAAGGAATCAGAGTCAAGTAGAAACTGGAGAACTTGGTGGTGTCGTTGGCTATGGATAGAGGGAAATGGCCACTGAGCCCATTCCTGGGCTATGAGAGGTGACAGAACATCCTTCACCAACAGAAAGATGGACTCAAGAAATCATCCCTGATGATGAAGTTTGTCTCTCCGTTACCTGAAGTGGTGGTTTGTCTACTTGGCTTCTTCCGCCTTGTCCTTTGTGTGTATAATTTCAAGGAAGGAGAGACTGGGAGTCATTTTCCCCAATATCCCCAGTGCCTGGAGTAGTTCCTGTCTCATAACATATGAGCAATAAATATGGCTTTTCTTTTCTTTTTTTCCAATACCGGCAATCAAACTCAGGACCTTGTGCTTGCTAGGCAGATGTGGCGCCACTGAGCTCCTTAAATGTGGGTTTTGTTTTCAGGCAGGGTCTTACTCTGTAGTCCAGGCTGGCCTTGGATTCACTATGTAACCCAGACTGGCCTCAACCTCACGGTGATCCTCCTGTTTCAGCCTTCTGAGTGCTGGGATTACAGGCCACTATGCCCAGCTAATAAATATGTTTTGAATAAACTATTGAACAAATATGTCACTTGAAATTTCATGTGTGAAACATTTTTTCTTTTAGTAAATGAGGTTGAAATTAAATCTTATTTTTTCTTTGACTTTTGTGGGGGTTTTTTTTGTACCTAGGATTGAACTCAAACCACTGAGCTAAATCCCTGACCCTTAAATCTTACTTCTTCTTAAGCCTTTAACTTCAATTTACAAATCTTAATAGTTTGTTTATTTATTTATTTTTGTACTGGGGATTGAACTCAGGACCTTGTGCTTTCGATGCAGGCGGTGGCACCACTGAGCTAAATCCCTGGCTCCAGTAGTTAATTTATTAATCTAATAATATTTCTTTTTTTTGTACCGGGGATCAAACTCAGGACTTTGCACTTTTGAGGCAGGCATGGTGCCACTGAGCTAAATCCCTGGCCCTAATCTAATACTATTTCTATAAAATAAGAAGAATCACCTTATTTGTTCTTTGATTCATGTGCTATCAATTCATAGCTATAACAGGTTAAATCCTCTTTAAACATTTAACACTACCTAAAAATTAATTAAATTTCCTTAGACATTTTAAACCACATCACACATTTTAAGTGTCTGTTTCTCTCAAACATTTCAAACTCTGACTGGAAGAATTAAGAATTTCGGGCTGGGGATTTAGCTCAGTGGTTCTGCTGCCTGCCTTGTAAGCGCAAGGACCCAAGTACTCAATAGTACTCAAAACTTCAGGCAAGTAAAAGGAATAAAAGAGATATATATAGGAAAAGAAGAAGTAAAATTTCCTTTTACCCAGATGACATCATCTTTTACATAGAGGATCCCAAAAAGTCCACTGAAAGACTCCTAGAACTAATAAACAAGTTCAGCAAGGATACAAAATCAACACATAAAAATCAGTCAAAGTCTTGTACACTGATAATGAACCCACCAAGAAAGAAATCAAGAAAAAAATACCATTCAAAATAGCTTCAGGTGGCCAGGGATTTAGCTCAGTGGTTCTGCCATCTGCCTCGCAAGAGCAAGGTCCTGAGTTTGATCCTGGTACCAAAAAAAAAAGCTTCAAGAAAAATTAAACATTTGGGAATTAACCTGACAAACGAAGTTAAAAAAACCCTGCTATAATGATAACTATAAATCTGTGAAACAGGAGATTGAAGACAACATCAGAAAATGGAAAGATTTCTACTGTTCTTAAATGGGCAGAACCAATATTGTCAAAATGGCCATACTACCCAAACTGATACATAGATTTAATGCCATCTCAATAAAGATAGCAACAGCATTCCTTACAGAAATAGAAAATACAGTCTTAAAATGTGTATAGAACCAGAAGAGACCCAGAATAGCAAATCAATCTAGGCAACAAGAGCAAAGCAGTAGGCATCACAGTCACAGATTTCAAATTATTTTATAAAACTACACTGATACAAACAACATGGTACTGGCAGGAAAAAATGACATATTGATCAATGGAACAGAATAGAAAATGCAGAAACAACCCCAGGCACATTTATCCCTCTGATCTTTGACAAAGGGACCCAAAACATGCACTAAAGTAAAGATAGTCTTTTTAGTAAGTGGTGCTGGGAAAAAAGGCTATACACATACAGGAGATGAATCTGCTATCTTTTTTTTTGGTACTGGAGATCGAACTTGTGACCTTGCAGTTGCAAGGCAGGCGCCAGAACCACTGAGCTAAATCCCCGGCCCTGCAGGAGATGAATCTAGACCCATATCATTTATTGTATACTAGGATGAAATAAAAATAGATCAAAGAGCTAAATATTAACACAGAAACACTTAATCTAATGGAAGATAAAATAGGCAAAACTTTTGAAGACATAGGCACAGATAAGGACTTTTTGAACGGAACCGCAATTTCACAAGAAAGACATCACGACTCAAGAAATGGGATTATATCAATTTAAAAAACATCAGCACCGCAAAGGAAACATCCAACAGAGTGGAGAGACAACCTACAGAATGGGAAAAATAATTTGCCAGATATTCCTCCGACAGAGGACTGATGTCTAGAATGTATAAAGAACTAAAAAAAAAAGAAAGAAAGAAAAAACAGATTTCCCCGAAGCAAAACATCCAATCAAAAAACGGGCAATTGAAATGGGTAGACACTTCTGAGAAGAAGTAAAATGGCCAACAAATACATAAAAATTTCAGTGTCTCTGGCAATTAGAGAAATGCAAATCAAAACAACACTGACTGCTGGGCAAGGACAAGGACCCGAGTTCCATCTCCGGCACCAAAAAAAAAAAAAAAAAAAAA